TCCCTCTAAAGTGCACTAACATGGCGGCCGGAATCCGACAGCAACATGTAATACCGAGTTTTGCTACGAAAGCGTGAATTCATCCCTCAAGGAACTCACAAACATTAATAAGTAGTATTCTTTTTAATACCAGGACTGTTCAGACAGCAAAATTCCCCAAAAGTGACTTTTTAACTTACATAAAATCTCTCTCGGCGGCCACGCAAATGCCGTGTCACCCAAAAGGTTAGATATTCACCCTTCTTCGGAGAGAAAATTGGTGAAAATATAAATTTTTGACTGCTCTAGTACTTCATAGAAGTAAAAATTCTGGAGGATCGATAATTCTCGCCAAAACAAAATAAAGCAAAATCAAGTTTTACTTTTAATCAACTGACAGATTGATTCATAACCATTTTAGAAATGAATTCGGGTTTTGGTAAAAGTTTTAGTTTTATTAATTAGAACCTTTGCTAAAGTTTACAAATCTAACAGATATGTAGTAAGATTTTGTCGAAGAGTTGTCAGGGCCCGCGGAGCAGTTTTTAGAGTGCGGGGGGCCGGTGACCACCTCTTTTGAAGTCGGGGGTGGGGTGCAAATTTGGCTGTTCTCTCTTTGTGGCTGTTTAGAACTGTCAGATTACTGAACCTTTCTTGGCTCATTGTTGAGCGGAGTTGTAGAAGGCCTAAATGTAATAAACGACCCTAAATGTAATAAAGTTCTAAATGTAATAACATTTTGTCCTAAATGTAATAAACTCTTAAGTTGCCAATTACAGTAATTACTTGAATAAGCGCCGCATTGGGGTGGGGAGTTAATTAACGCCGCGGCGCTTATTCGTGTAAATACGGTACTAAGCGGTATTACTATGGTATTAAGCTCCGCTCTCAAATAAGGGCCGCATTTTTAGAGACAAAGTTAATAAGCGCCGCGGCGCTAATTCGCATAAATTCGGTACATTTCCTTATGCACTGTGAAACTTAACGTTTACAAATAAATTGCTTGTAAACGGCAAAGTAACAGTATTTTTTGAAAAAAGCAATATGTAAGCAATAGAAAACTTTTTTCCTTGTTTGCATAGCCTGATAGAAACACTAGAGGGATTGGGAGAATTGGAAACTCAAAAACGTTTTAAAATTCGTGCTTGTATGATGAGCGCGCAAAGAGCAAAACATCTTGACTCCACACATGTTTACATACTCTCATGCAAACACATCTCTCGGCTAATCAGAGCGCGCGCGTATTATCTTTAGTTATTTATAAACGTTGTTATCAGCTGTGCAGTAGTCTTTAGGGCCTGTTTACATGGAGGTGGGGGACCCCAGATAGGTGAGGTAACATGCGGCGGGTCACCCCACCTATCATGTAAACGTGATCAAATTAAAATGAGAGATTATGTGGACAGGCGGGTTACCCACCAAAGCGGGTTGCCTCACCTACCTGGGGTCCCCCACCTCCATGTAAACAGGCCCTTAGGGTTCTCGTTTTTTGTTCTTAATATTTTAGCTGATTAGATCTCTTTTCTAGAGATCCAACGTTGACAAGCAACAAGATTTTGTAAACGTCAAGTTACACATTGCATAAGGAAATGTACCGAAGCTTATTAAATTTTTTATCCAAAAATGCGGCGCTTAAAACCATAGTAATACCTCTTAGTACCGTATTTACGCGAAAAAGCGCCGCGGCGCTTGTTAAATCCCCCCCAAATGCGGCGCTTATTTGAGTAATTACGGTAATTTGCAACTTAAGAGTTAATTACATTTAGGACAAAATGTTATTACATTTAGTACTTTATAACATTAGGGTTGTTTATTACATTTCGGCCTTCTACAGGAGTCATGTTTATAAATTTCAAGCCGCTGAAAAGTACATTTCTTCTGCTGAGCCTGATTGCCTATGCAGAATCCACCAGTAGAAGTTTGCAGATCATGATATTACACTGTAGGTTCCTGTAACCCCTAGCTTTGTCTACTATGTTATCCAGTTGCGTCAGAGACCACATCATCAGCCGATATAATTCGTTTTAAGAAACCGTGTTCGTAGAGTAGTCCTCAGATTTAATCGAGAACCTTCATTAATTAAAAAGACTCTATTCCGCCTCGTTACAAATGCTACATAGCCATGCCGTTTGAAAAAACAGAAGTCAAGGGCTATGTGCAGTTTTGTAAAGATAGGCGTTTTGAGGCTTATTACGCATCAGTCGACTGATGGGATCGAAACGGACCAATAAAGAATTTATATGCTGGACGATTCTTATTCCAACAAATTAAAGATACAATTTATATAAAAATGTAAATTACAGTGGAACCTCGGTCTAACGACTCCAGCAATAGTAAAATATAAGGCAATATGAAAAAGAACCTCGTTATAACGAACATATTTTGCCAGTCACTTGGCCCTTCGTTATATCGAGGTTCCACTGTACTTAATTTTATTTATTATTCATTCAAAATATTTCCCCGATTCTGACTGGCTAAAAGCACACATTTAATTCACCATAACCAGTTGCTGATGACCAAATTTGGAAGAATTTTGACTTTAACGAGGAAATGACGTCAAAAATGCAGCGTTTTCGCGGGTCAAGGCTCCGTTAACCGAGAAGACCTGGCGACGAGGTTGAAACAGTTTTGGTTGTGAACTTGAAAAAATGGCGGACATTTCACTCGTTTCAAGAGTAAGAACTAGGCGAAAAAAAAGCTAAAAACATGGCAAGAACAGCAAGAAGACAACTCGAAGGGCGACATCTGCTATTTGGAGAATATTTGCGGAGCTGGACAAACCTAAACGTACACTATCGAAGATCAACTGAACATCGATGGATCGATGGAGGTAAGCATGTTTTAGCTATGTTTTTAAACTAGGAATTTTTTTTGAATGAATAATAAAACAGTTATTGAATTCGGCTTTCGTATCATATGAAGAATTATGGAGATCTCGGAGGGTGTTATCCGCCTCGGCCTACGGCCTCGACGGATAACACCCTCCTCGATCTCCATAATTCTTCATAAGATACTCAGCCTCATTCATTAACTGTTAATGAGTTTATTAACGTAAGCTTCGCTTGTAGGCTTACTAAATCCGTCATTTAGCTAATTACATGAAATTTTGACTAGTTAGCGAATTTAGCGATTTTTGTAAAAATCGCCAAATTAAAATGCGCCAAAACTATGTGTTGCTAATTTTCAAAATGAGACCAAGTGCACAAGTGTTCTTGTCAAAATGAGAAATGAGTTTTATTTGTATGAGAATGAAAACTCATTTCCATAAGAAAAGTAGTAAGGGCACTTAACCTCGTTTTGATACAGGGGCTCGGGGGAACTTCTAGTCGGAAATGGCCTATTTAAATCGTCTCTAAATTATATTAAAGTGAATAAAATATGAAATTCCGCTATTTGGTCAGTTTCAAACACATATGCAGTTTGATGGTCGATTTTGACGTGTATCACTGACTTTGTGTGACAACGTATCTTAAATATAAGTGAGGACAGTATTAAGATTTGACATTACAGCTAGTTGCAGTTTCGTTTGTTTCGTTCAAATTAAAGTAACAAAACGTTGTATGATTTTGATTCAAAATGAAGCCATTGACGTTTTATTATTTTGTCACATAAATGTTCTATTGTCGTCGTTAAGGTTTTGAATAAGTCAATTCGCCAAAGTTTCAGTTCGTGAAATCGCGAAAATAAAGTGACTTATGTTCCAAAATTTACAACAAATCGCTAAATTAACGTGCTGCTAAATAAGGGTTTTCCAAAATTGCTAAATAAACATGTCGCCACAATTTCATGTAAGGTAAAATAAAATTGAAAAAGGTGATATATTAACCTATCATTGTTCATAGCTAATCCTGGTTACCCTGTTGTCCGAGTCGACGGCGCTTACACTGAAGCAATCACAACTGACGGGGAACCACTAAGCAGAGGTCATATGAATCCCGCGGGAATAAACTCGTTTGATCTCAAATTCATGAAAGCAACATTCACCCTTACCAATGCAGTACCTCAGTTTGAAACATCAAACAGTGGCCCCTGGCAGGATTTTGAGACAAAAATACGAGATTATGCGAACTACACTTGTGGTCCGAAAGGAGGAACCTTTTATCTCCTGACAGGAAGATCTGAGAACGGCATTATACCCGATCCTCAAAACCGTTACAAAGTTGTTCACGATACTTCATGCACCGTACCAAAGCCCTATGTCAAGGATAAATTTCTCGGAGGTACAGTGAGACTTGAAACCCCTCGTTCTGTTTGGACAGCGGGCTGCTGTGTGTGGACGGAGCCTGGGAGGGTATTTGGAAGGATTTGGCCGGCGAAAAACGCCCAGTCCTTCGCGGTCATGAGCAACAACCAGAAGGATAGAAACAAGCTGTACCAGACACAAATGAGTGTGCGCGAACTTGAAGAACTCCTAAGGGCACCTTTTTTGTCGGAAACGGTAAATTTGTTCCCAGGAGATGAAAACTGCAGACGTCCTGCGAACCATAAAAAGCTTAAGTAATATATCAATTAGCCTGCGTAGCTAGCGGGATTTGTTTGGTGAGCGTGCAAATGATCTGAAAATAAACTGATCAAGAAATTGTCACTGATTTCAAGGCAGCATCATCAAAAGTTTAAACCGTTTACGCTACGCTGATTTTTATTGGAATACTTTTGATTGTTGCTCCCGCTTCTTCTTGCTATTATGTTTGTAGCAAGGTAGACGTAGAGGATATTACATGGCCGCGCGGGGATACGAATTTTATCTTCAAGTGCTGAAAGTGTCTCTCAAAACAGTGCAATTAAAGTGGTCACCTATCGCAAAATGCATGCCTGTCACAAAAATGTTATAAAACTCGGATATAAAGTTATAAAGAAGAAATAAAGACAATAATACTTATATTTCCTGTTCCAAAAAGTCAAAATTAATGTTAGTAAACATGGCGACACTAATATCCTCACACGTGAAAGATAAAAATAGTATCTTCACTGCGCGCGATGAAGATATGGTTTTTTAGTAAAAGGAAAAATCCGGGTACTTCATCAGTATCTATGACCATCCTGCCACGGCAGAGCATTTCTTTCACTTGCCCTCTTTTGGCGTACTTGAGAAACTCCTTGCATGAATCGAGTAAGATCTTAGATGGAGATATGATATAGTTTAGGGCATAGGCCTAATAGCTGTGTGTTTGCTACAGCGGGCTCGTTTATGGTCATTGGTTTATCAATAAGCGGATGCTCGCAATCGAAAAAACCAGTTTGAAGAGGGAAAACAAGATTGACTACTCCAGAAGACAAAGGCTTGATGTAAAGTGATCACTCCAAATGCATTAAGTTATCAAAATGTAGTTGTCTCTGTAAAATATATACTCCTGCGATTCACACCGATTGGTTTCTGCTCCCTTTATTATAACATTAATATTGAATTCAAGTTTGATTTGTGGTAACTGCATTTCCCGATGGTAAAAGAAAATACAATCTTTCCACTTGTTTCATCCATGTCAGTCGCGGATTTAGGGCAGGGGCAGTTGGACATGCGATTTCCCGCCAAACGGTCGGCATGCAATTGAATACTGTATGACATTTCACACTGGTTTACTTGCGTGGTTGCGAGCAGAGTTGGTCAAGTATTCGCGCAGTGAACGTCGCGCCAAAAACGGTTTTTAAAAACATATTTTCTTACCCACTGGGTAGCGCGCAGTGGTTCCGCTAAAGTGTGAAACGACTGAATTTTGCAGAGAAAATGCATGTAACATTTCACACAGCCTTACATGGTGGGGTGGAACGTTCGTTAACGTCACGACAAAATATGTTTTGAAAACCACATTTTCTTACCCATGGGACGCACGCGCAGTGGCTCCGCTAAAAGGGAGCTTAAACAGTCATGACCATGACTACAGCTAAAATGTCACTTAAAAAGGGCACTCGTGTTTTTTCAAACTTAATCACTCTTATTCCATCTCGTTCAATTTTTCAAATGTTGACGAATTAAATTCTGAAAGTCTGTTAGTTAGAGAAAGAAAATGAAAAATCGTTTTCTTGAGTTCACGTTATACATAAAACGTAAAATTAGGAAGTTTCACGTCGTAGTGAGTCGTGTAACGACGGCAAAGAAATGTACAATAAAAGGTGAAGCACGTGCATTGTTGTTATTTTGCTTTTTTACCGTTTTCGTTGCCGTCGTCGTTGCTTAAGTAGCTGCCTATAACTGAAACCACTCCTTTTTACAGGTACCGTCATTGGAGAAACGTTTTCCAGGTAATTATCTCGCTCATTTCAGCCGTCATTTCAAACAAAAACAAACTGCATGACACCTTGAACTTTCTTGTTTTATTCAACATAAATCGATGAACACTAAAACAAAGTCTAAAATAATGTAATCAACTAATATGCTTCGCCTGCTTCCGGCGGGGGCGAGACAATAATTTAATGAGTAGAAACAATGTTGACAGCAAATGTTAAAAAAAATCTGTAAAATCTTGGGACAGAAAAAGACAAAAAAATAAATGGATGAGTAAGTTGGGTCCACTTTTCATGTCTACTAGCCTCTTCATCGGGGTGTGGCACTTTAAACATACCTAGTAAGTACTGTTTGAGATATATAAATAATTTTACATTCCTTCACCAATACTAAAATTGTCTTTCAGGAGTAAAATGCACTCTCTCGTTTCCTTATTTACATGATGGAGAATGATTTTAATTTGTTGTTTCTGGCTTGCCACAACAACAGATCTTTTTTAACCAAGAAAAAAATCGACGAACACGGCATTTCTGCAAAAAACAAAAACAACAAGGAAAAACTCAGTTGTTAATATATTATTGTGGAAACCTCAATGTATATAGTATCCCAACGTCTGCGCTGGAACGGAGTACTACAATGTAAGCACAGTCTCCTGTGAAATGCTTAGAATATTATGCTGAAAGTGTTAGGTAGCAGTCATACTCTTGCTTCTGTTTAAAAGAGCGGCTATTTCTGTATTGATGAAGCGAGACTGTGCCGGGCAAATCTCGAAAGTGAAACCTCGCACATTGGATGGGTTATGTACCGCATATTGGTGCAGCGTGATCAGTTATTTGGACCTTTTTGGTCTCGAATCGGGTATCGTTGTCTAGAGAACTACGGGAGTATATGAACGGATTCATCGTTTTGATTTACAAATGATTCAGAAAGAAAGAGAAATATGGATGAGTAATGTGGATAAAAGGAAATGGTACTACAGGTCCTTTATACTAATAATGAACTTTATTAAAGTCTCATGTCTTATAGCACAGGCACTGCGCCTTTACTTATTGGTGAGACTTCCCCCAGTCCTTCCCCCATAATTCCCTGCGGATCCTTTCTCACTGTGCTACAGAATCTTGGCGTGCTTACCTTTAGTTTGCAGCTCTTTCCTTCAAACATAGCGGGCGATGTACTGTCTTCATCCTGCTCTGATAAGCTTTCACAGCGCTCGTTGTTTTCTGTCACTCTTTCTTCCTTTTCGCAGTGCTCGTTGTTTTCTCTTCCGTTCTCTTCACTTGTTGGCCTGTTCACATGCTATTTCTTTTCTTGGTAGGATCTGAAGTGGGTTTCTTCGTTTGATCAGCATTTGCGGGCTCCATAGAAGCGCCCTGTTTCGGTTTACAATACGGATTGCTGGACTTTCTGATTGGTTATTACCATAAATCAAAAACCGTTCTGCGCCACCAAAGTTGATCGGCTGGAGCATAGAGGAACAGTAATCCACGGCTGGTTGGAGCGGGATCGCACTTATTGACACAGGAACAGCTGCCGGCGATGGAGAAGTCAGCGCATTTGTGTACATTAGATAACCGTTTTGTAGACTGTGGAGAGGAGCTTTAGGCTGCATAGTCGAAAAAGGGATAGCCAGGGTGGACGTAATATTGTCATTGTCCACGTTGTCACCTTCGGTCTCCCAAGTATACCTTTCCAGCAGGCCAAAGTAGGCTTCCTTAAATAATATATGTTCATGATACATTTGCTGGCCAACGCGAAACCATGATGTAAAGCCTTTTTCAAGCAACTGATAGTGCCTTTGAAGGCGTTCCAAATGAAACTCCAGAATATTGTTTTCAGCTTTCGTCTTTTCATACAGTTTTTTAACTCTTCTCTCTCTTGCTTTGTGGCCAGTAACATCTCTTTGTTGTATTCAGCATAACTCTGCCACTCCATGATTTTCCCCTCCAGGTGAATTCGGTTGGAGCTATGTACTCCACATTTCTCATGCAACGTCTTGTTTTCCTCTTCTAAAACTCTGATTTTGTCTTTTAACTCGCGATACGAAGGCATTTTAAAATATTTTAAACACGCAAATAGAACAAGCCAAACGCCAAAAATATTAGTCGGTGATTTTTGTAGGCTGATTTAGTGACGTCATAATCAGCTTTCACCTGGTTGATTTCTTTTGCGCGAGCATGATAGTGTACGGGAGAACCCAGAGACTGCGATCGTTTTGGTCAGCACCAAGGGACAAACCTCAATTCTAATCGGAAAATAAGTCGAATCTGATTGGCTGATAAAAATGTGTTTATCACATGCTAATTTCTTAGCAAATAAAAATAATGTGAGCCCATTGTTTGGATTTTGATTTTGATGTACATGCTGTGCGTAGCTGGCGTATCTTGTTTGGCAATGAGCGCGCAAATGAGCTGAGATGAAACTGATCAAGAAATTAATTATCACTGATTTCAAGTCAGCGTCATCAAAAGTTTAAATGGCTTAAGCTGAGCTGGTTTTCTATATTCATTGGAATATTTATTCTTGTTGCTCCCAATTCTTCTTGCTTTTAGAGATCGTAAGCAAAGACGACTGCAACAGCAGCGAAAACTTCACCCAAAAGTAGGATTTGCGCTGTTTTAAATTCCATCGTTCTTATTCCAACTCTTCCAGTTTCTCATTGGTTGGGTTTTTTTTTCAGGAGTTGAATTCTAAAGGACTATATCTAACTTTGCAAAAGAAAAAGAAAATCGTTGTCTTGTGTTTCCGTCCTTCGTATAACGTGAAAGTGCGAAGTTTCACGTCGTAGACGTGCAACGACGGCAAAGAAACTGCACAAAAAAGCATGATGCACGTGCCAAGTTGTTGTTTTGCCAATCTAAACCTATTGCTCTTTTGCCGTTTTTGTTGCCGTCTCCGTCGTGGTTTCTTAAAATCCGTATTAATATGTTTCTAGCAGGCTAGACATTGGTTTATCCCATTGTGTATTTGGCCACCCTGCCGGCATGAGCATTCCTTTCACTTGCTCTGTTTTGGCGTACTTGAGAGAGACTCTGCATGAATCGATTAAGATCTTTGTTGAACCTTTTTGCTTTGATATAGTTTCGGGCCCAGACTTACTTCCCACAAGCCCTGCGCTTTCTACAGCGGGCTCGTTTATGGCCATCGGTTTATCAATAAATGGATGCTCGCACTCAAAAATACCAGTTTGATGGAGTAAAGCAAGATTGACTACTCCAGCAAAACAAGACTGACTACTCCAGAAGTTTAATCTATTTCTCTTAGGGTGTGTTCCTTTCAGCGAG